TAATACCTTAATTTAAAACTTATAAATAATATAAAGTTTAAAGCTAAAGGTATTATTTTAAAAAGTTAATATAATATAAAATTATAAATTAAAATTAATATAATTATTTATTTTAAGCCGTTAATAGTTATTTTCCTTAAGTTTAAAAAAATATAAAACATTAAAATTCTTAAATTATTAAAAGAGTAAATTTTATTAATTATAAATAAAATTAAAATAAAATTAATATAAAGTAAGTTTAAATTCTTTATAAAAGGGTATATTTAATATAAACTTACCTATATATTAATATTTACTTTAATAAATTATAAATTATAAAGGAGAATATTTAAAAAGATTATTATTAACTTAAAAGCATAATTAAATAAAACTTATAATATTAATCTTATTATTATTTATATTACCTTATTTAAATATAAAACATTCTTAAGTATTTAAATGCTTAGGCTTATTAACTTAAATAACTAAACCGTACTTAATATCTTATGAAGTTTATAAAATGCTTTAAATATATTAAAATATTAATTTATATTAATATTAAAAAGGTAATTATAAATAATAATATAAAATAATTACTTCTTATATAAAAACTATATTATTATATTATTCCTTATAATATGCTAATATAGGCTTTATTTAGTAAATATTCATTTTAATATATATAAAACTAAAAACGGTTTATTTTAAGGCATAAGTTAAGTTATAATTTATTATAAACCACGCCTTAAACTATACTTTAAAGACTTACCTTATATTACATTAAATAGAAATATATATAATATAAGTTTATTAAAAAATAATAGCTATATTACTAAAGCTATATAAATAATATAATAATTATAAAATATACTTAAGCTAATTAATATAAATAATAAATTTTAACCTAATATATATAATATAAGCAATGCATAATTAATTTTAAATTATAAAATAACCTTAAAATAATATTTTAAGATATTTATAATAGCCTTACTTACTATAAGTTAAATACTATAAAGAACCTTATTATATATATTTAACTAATAAATTTTTATTATATTATATTTAGGAATAATTATAATGCTATAACCTTTATTTTTAGCCTTAAAACTTTTATATAAAAGCTATAATATTATTAATAATAATAAATATATTTAAAATTACTATATTATTAAATTACTTAAATTATCTTTGCAAACTATTTAAACTTAAATTTAAATAATGCAAAGCATTATATAAGTTAAGCATAAACAACCCCTTTTAAACCTTTACTTTTTCTTAATCTTAATTATATTAAGCATTTCTTATTAAATTATTTAGCATAAAAAGAGCAAAAAATTAATAAAAACTTAATATAATATAATTAAGATAATATATATATATTTTATAATTATAAGCCTTGCCATTATAATAATAATTTATATAAACCCTATATATTATTACTTGCAAAGTAATTATAAACCCTTTTAATTTTTATATTACCTATAAGGCTTTCTTACTTTCTTATTAAATATTTAAATTAAATAAGCTATAAGGTTTTAAATCTTATTAATATAAAGGTATAATATTAAAGATAGATTTAATTAAGAATAATGCTATGCTAATAATAATAATAATGCTTTAATTATCTTAAAGAATAGGAAATATTAAACCTTTAATAAAATATCTTAAGCATAATTACTTATAATTAAAATATATTAATAGGTATATATAAAAGATTAAATAATTTAAATAAACTTATATATTAGCCTTTAATTAATAATATTATAATTATAAATATCAATATTATAATAATATAAGATTATTAAATATTTAAAAGAAATTAAAATTAATAACTTTAAGCATTATAAAATAAAAGCTTATTATTAAAATAATTAAGGAAATAGCTTATATAATAAGATAAGATAATAATATAAAGTTTAATAATAATGCTTATTTAATTAAAAATATATAAATATAAAAATTTAAATTATAAACTAAATGCTAAATTTTTAATATAAAATATAAATAAAATAAGAATTAATCCTAATAAGATATTAAATTTATATATTATTAAGGAAGTATAGGACTTATATATTATATTCATTAAATGCAGGAAATTCCGGAAAGCAGTTTAATATAAATTATATAGCGGCAAAGAGAATTAATATTTTTTAGTAGGAAATGGGTATTGGAGCTTATCCCTTGGACGGGATACAAAACCATTCTAAAAGAATGGCATATATGCTAGCTCAAGAATCAAATTTGAAGAGATGATCGCATCGTCCCCAACTTGACCAGAAAACTTCATGTCAACAGTTCCGTTGGTCCACATGTCTTGTGTCCAAGAAAGATGCAATTTTACTCATCTCGAATCCCGAAGTTTAAACAGGAGAGGCCTTCAAGACAAATATCACATGGGAAAGGTCCTAGGCTCCGCGGATATTGCATATCTTGCTTTCATTGTCCCTAAAATGCTGCTTCTATTGCGGCGTCGCAATGGAGACCACGTAACTTGCTTTGCGTGGTTTGTCATGGGTAGGGCCGTGGGAACATCCTTTTGTTATGTGATGTGCTCTTGAACAGTCAGAAATGGTATACAGTCGCTGAGGGCTACGACTTGGAGAGAAGGCTGCATCCTAGTTGATGACTGGTCCCTTGCCGACCAGTCGGCCGCTCTCTATATATCAGGAGTTGTATTGGTGATACTCTGCAGATCATCCCATCTCCTGCGATCACAGACAAAGTCACTCACGGATACTACAATCAATAAATTCACAGGTCTAGTGACATGGCTGGCAGTTGATAATGTAGGACCGAATGCACCAAGACACATCAGCACGAGCTGATGACTTTGGGAGGAAAATGGGAACTGCACAAAAGGTGCGTCTGGAGCAACTTTTGTAGAGTAGAGGAGCGTCAACGGGAAGAAAAGTGAAATGGTGGCTGCTTAGTTTGTCTTGAGGCTGTACGGGTGTATCCGTGCCGCTTATTGGGTTTGGAATCCTTCTATCGTGGCTGGGAAGCCAAATTGGTGTTGTAACGTGTGATGAATTACACCAAGTACTTCAAAGGGCTGTCTCGCAGATTTCCTACTATATCGCCAATCAAAGCCACGGCCATAAACTGTTCACTCCGCAGACTTTTCCCTTGACCACAACTGGCTCGTCTGATCATGGGGCCCTCTCCAACGGGTCAAATAACATTTGTTGCCGACTTTGGCTACCCTGTTCGCAATTTCCTCTCCGACAACGACTGCATGATGCTCTGGGCTGGTTTACGTGGGCTTTGGCCCTCATACCTCGACGACCACTTGATTTCGGTGCTCAGAAATGTCGGACGACTGTGTAGCTTTACATTTTATGGGCGTGCAAGAAGCGACGCGTGTAGCATGAACCAGGACGCTTTCGGAAGTTTGTGTGCTTCAGGTACTCTCTATCGGCATGCCGGCCTGTGTTCTCTAGCACAACCTTAGATCTTGAGAATCGGCGTTTCACCACATCCTCATGCAGCGTGTCTAGATTTGCTGGTAACTGATCGGTTATCAAAACATTTCTACGAATCGCACTTGCTCGGAGCAGAAACACTCAGTCTATGGTGAGCCGATGGAGGTAAAGGGAGCGGTGTGATCATTCTGCACGGTGATGATCCAGGCCAAGCTAGGGCACGGGCAACCGGAGGCGGAGATGAGGGCTCTGATACAACGTGGGGGCGCTCGCACTAGAGTCCCACACTAGGAGCGATAACACGAGAGGAGGAGATGATGGAAAGTCAGAGAATGTCATAAGCACTAATGGGAATGTGCTAGATCAGTGGGGGGCAGAAAATAGACGATCGACGTTTCCCTAGCTTGACTGGGGAAACAGTCAGAATACTGACGCGTCTCAGAAAGAAAGGGAGAAGTATTGCACATGTGGTTCCGAGAAGCAACGGGGCCGGCCGCAGCCTCCTCACAGTAACTACCCTATTTGTGGAAACGATTCATGAGTGGTATTACAGTGGCAATCCTTGGTATGTGCGTTAGAAGTTTCTGGAAATGATTAAATCAAGACACACAGGCTCCTGAGGAATACTAAGGCGCGTCGGTGTTTCTGGCGACGGGAACAACAAAGATAACGTCCAAATAAGGTTGTGCTTAGCGCGCAAGCCAGGTGTCAAATTCAACCCGAGCTCCCGAAAGCTTAATAAATGGACCAGGCCAAAAAGCGTGAGAAGCAAGGGAGACGGGTCCTTGCCGGGGGCGCCATTGCGGGCCGGACGCGCGTCTGTGGGCAGTGAGCCTCAACTTAGAAGGGATCGTCCTCGGGTCTTGCCCAGAGCGGGATAGGTGCCCTGCGGGAAAGACCGCAGAGAGAGCGAGTAGGATCCGAGCGCTGGGTACACGGGCTCTTCTCAGCTTACAATTGGCAGTTCTTGGTTTCTCGGGCTGGATGTATGTACCGTAGATAAGGGGGGCGCACGCAGTGTCAGCACTGCGCCGCCCGCGACTGCCGGGATTTGGACGTTGAGCGGGCCGCCACTGCAGAACCATGTGTCAGGGTAGCATTTAGGTCTATCACATCCGATTTCTTTTCGTCCTGCCGGTGCCAGAAAGCAGGACGGTGACCGTGGGGCGGCTCGGGCAGAAAAACTGATTTCACGGACCCGGACTAGCGACTGATCCCGGGTTTGGCGAGGCTGGAACGGCGCGAGATCGCCGAGGACAGTTGTGCCACATGTACCTTGATGGCAAAGAAGGGAAGAAATTCTTAGTAAATTTCATCATTTGGTGACAAGATTTGATTGGCTCGCCCCTGCGTAGACACAACAGAAACGAATGTAACAGACGTCAGGCATGATCGTAGTCATCCACCTGAAGCTCACAGAAGCCTCCCTGCCGCCTTGCCGTGATATCAATGTCTAGTCTAGTCATACTGTACATGAGCCTGTAACCTGAAGCCGCCGTTTCCCATGCGCCCCCCCCCCCCGCCCCCCAAGCTATGATCAAAGCAGAATTGCCGCCGTCCCAGAGTATCTATTCTCCACAGCTAAAGGTGCGGTGCCTATCCAAGCGATGGATCCAAGATCTCGTCTCCAACAGATGCGGATAGCAGTCTCTTGACGTCCTCGGCCTTCTTCTCCAGCCACAGTCGCGTGTAATCGCACGCCATGACGAACGCCATGTGCCGTGATGGGTCCGAGAGGCAGGTCCGCGCGTCGTGCAGGTTTCGCAGATACATCGTCAGCTGCGACAGCAGCCTCTCCAGCTTGCGGAAAGACAAGAGGTACAGCCTCTGCCTCAGATCCACCTCATCGTCATCCTCCAGCTCAAGCATACCCCAAGATAACCGCGGCTCCATGAGGCTCGCAAGAGATATATGCGCACCGGCACCAACCATAGAAATGGACTCATCCGAGCCGGACGAGAGGCTACCACCACCTCCAACCCGCTCGGCGCCGCCAGTGCCACCCCCCAGGGCCGCCGCCGCCACGTCGCCCGCGGACGGTGGGGACATCCTCCGCAGGGCCGGGGCCACGAGGTCGCAGGCGAGCACCTCGAACTCGTCGATGACGTAGCCGATGAGCGTGGCGACGGCCATGATGTGGATGGGCTCGCCGTCGTCGCGGCCGTGGCAGCAGGCCATCGAGGACTCGGACGACGAGATGCACCGCCTCAGCCTGGCGAGCTGCGCGTCGACGGGCAGCCGCCGGTCGTCCCCGCCGCCGCCGCGCATCGACGTCAGGAGCTCCGTCACGCCCGCGTGGCAGTTGCACGTGTAGTCGCCCAGCGGGGGCGGCGAGGGTGGTGTTGCCAGGTATGCCGACATGTCGGTGGTCGCGGGCCCGCTGTCGCTGCTGCTGGCGTTGGTGTTTGTGTTGGTGTGGGTGTTGCTGCTGCTGCCGCTGCCGAAGAGGGACCCCATGGCCCAGGGGTTGGCGTACTCGGCCGCTGGCGTTGAGAACTGTGTCACGGCCGCGCTGAGGGGGTCGACATGATGTGGGCCGCTGCTTGCGCTGCCGGCGACCCTGGCAGGGCTGCTGAAGTCCAACAAGAGCCCGGCACGGTGAGTTGGGTCGGCTGCTGTCGGCGTCTGTGGTGTATAGGGCTGCAGCTGGGACAGATAATCCCCGAAGAAGGCTGTGTTTGCATCGTGCGTGGACATCTCGGTCGACAGGGATCGGTCCGGCGAGGCACCACCATTGGGCGTGGATGTGGACGGGGTCGCAGTTGCGCTCTTGGCGAATGAGAGCCCACTCCAACTATTGTTGCCGATGCTGTTGTTGCTGCTGTGACTCTTGTGGGTGCTGCTGCTGCGGCTCATGTCTCCGTTGGTGGAGGATGTTCTCAAAGGACCCCGGGACCGCTGCGACGGCGGCATCGATATAGGCGGGGCGTCCTTGTGCGTCCTCCGTGACAGCCCGTAGACGCACTCGACCCCGTTGCGCTCGCACCGTGCGCACGTCGGCTTCCGCTGGCTGCATCTGACCTTGGACTCGTTGCAAGCGTTGCAAGATGCCCGTAGCCGGATCGTCTTTCCGTCCATTCCCATTTATTGAGCCTCCAAAGGTTGAGCTTCAGCTTTCTTGATGCCGATACTGTATTTGTTTGGTGTGTCCTTTTACCTCTTGCCAGTCAGCGTCTCATAAGCATCATTATAGTAACGGTGGCGGGGGCTCCTGGCACTCATGGAGTGTTGTGGTGTGTTAAGAATCACGATTGTGCTTCTCCTCGGCTGGTCTTGTAAGAAACATCATGCGGAAGGCCTCGACCGATCGACTCGGTGCCGACCCAGGAATACTGAACAACGTCTGGCTTCTCTGGTTGATGCGAGACTGGATGACGGCGAATCATCAGTGACGTGATAACACTCCACTAGGAGGATGCATAGCCTGCTGACAGGATGAGACCCGATTGGAATACGCCTCTCCCGAGCCCAGAGCGGCGGTCTTGACGGTCACATCGGCAGGAACTTCATCCTGCAGTGGTTGCTAGGCGAGCTCCATCTGCGGTGGCTGCACAATCATAGGGGTCAATGAAGTGAGTTTTCCAATGTGTAGGTACTTGCAGGCCTGGTTCCTTTTTGCTGGGAAACACAATACAGTCAGATCTGTCAGCGACCGACAACAGGCAGTTCTGTGCAACTCTCGCCCTGCCAGCTACATTCGTACGCATGTACATGATAAGCAGAACTCGTCTTGGCGGAAGGTGCCGCGGTTGACACCCTTTTCTATTTTGTCTAGAGCCTCGGCCCTAAGTACCGTGGTTTTTATTTCTGTGGCGCTCACTCACCCCGTCTGACCGCACACCATCTTTATTTTTTTTTTTGACGAGACCACGTACCTATACATGTACACGCTATCATCGGCCTCGCAAATCTGTTCCATATGCGAATACTCTCGATTGCCTCAGTTTGACCTGTCAGAATAAGCTAGTCATCCATGGCATCATTTCTTATGTGTCGAACGTGCCGCAGTTGACATTGTTCAGTGACACACCACCTATTGCAATTCTTGGCGTCTACGTTATCACATTCAAGGCAGAACCTAAAGATGCTCTCTTCGAATCTGCAAGCCTCCGTTCCGTCTTCTGCCACGGTGCCTGAAAGGCCACATTCGGAGAGACATGTCGCGACTAGCGGGGCGCGGCTGTCGAACCACGTCATCGACAGACATCATCGCAGTCAACAACCACGGTCGCCAGTTAGATCACCGTACTCTGTCCAGTGCCCTCAGGGTATATGTAGACCTCGGTTGAGTTTAGTCAACACGGCAGAGGTGGCCACCATGCCTGCAACCCCATGCTGTGCAACACGCGAACGTTGCAAGCTGAGGAGCCAGGTGACAATGAGAAGATGTTGTGCTTGCCTGTATGATTGAGATGATGGAGTTGTACTACGCCACTAGGCTACACCGTCCCAATTTGGTATTTGAGATGCATGTCCATAATTTCGCTCCACCACCAGCCAAGATGTCTCTTTCAGGAGTGACCGCAGCTCGGCGGGACTCAGCCGCCTTGGGCTCCGCTACCGTAAGAGCGAGGCCTTGGCTACCACAAAGTGATTCGACAAATTGCCGCCTTTGATTGCGTGCATGTATATCTCTCGAACGCGATCCATTGTCCCAGTTTCGGGTCCCGACATGGAAAAGCTAGTCAGCTTACAGCCGTGATGCATGTGGCGGCCGCATGTTCAAACCCGCCCCTAATTACGGCCCTGGATCCTGGAGCAAATGTCGAGATGTCGTCTTTTCTTGCTTCAAAACCGATCATTTCAGTGGTCGCAGGGATCGACTGTGAGCCTCGCGCAAAAAAAACCGGGGCGGTCAAAGGTTTTTTGGTACGTGCGGCTGAATGCGGGCGGCCTTCGCATCTTGGTTCGGATGTGTGATAGGAAGGGCATGCAGCCTTGCTGTCGTAATTTCGCACGCATTGGGGCTGATAAGGCTGTTCGGCTTTTGGTGCGGGATACCATGATCGTCGCCACTGCCACGTGTCCCGTTCCTCCTGCGGGTGGCGGCCGTCAGTGGAATTCTTCTTTCCCGGGTTCTGGATCCAGCCCTGCAGACCCACGCCTTTTGCAACTCGAATTAGCCCACAAGTTGTGGAATCACGCTTGTGACCACATAGAATGGGGGTTGAACTCTGGAGGAAGTCCTGACATCCATGGATTGCTGGAGCACAAAACCACTTAGATGACTATGCAACTTATTTCTACCATCCGTTCAAGCAGTACGACCACCTGTTTGGATACTATTTGAGGCTGTAACGGAATCTTGGGGTAGAAATTTCAGCATATTCAGACCGTATGTTGAACGCTGACGTGGCATAGCATGTGCATGGACTTTGTCCAGTAGAGCGACTCGTATCTCATGGGCGGAACAGACGGTACAGAACGTGTGAAATGTAAGTTCCAGTCCCATGTCATCGTCTGAATTCATGAAACAATGTTACGGTATCTGCAATTTGAGCGTATAGCCTTGTACGATGCCAGTCTCTGTTCCCAAAATAATTTCAACACTTCCAACCTAGTTTAGCTCCACCCCCAATCAATTTCCAGAAGGCTTCGCGTTCTCTACCCCGTAATGCTCAATTCCGCCAAGGATCTTGCCATCAATCTCGGTCGGCTTTGCCTCCAGCGTAACAAACAGCATGCGGGCCCACTCCGTCTGGCTGTTGTTCCTCCACAGGTGGTTGGTGCCCCTCTGGATTGCCACATCGCTCCTCTTCAGAGTCCTGCTCTCCCCAGAATCCAGAACAAGCTCGACCTCACCGTCCAGCAGGATACCGTAGTCTAAACTCTGGGTTCTGTGCATGGGACTCTCGCCTCCTGGCTTCATATCTACAATACGTAGGACGCTGCCGCCGGGGAGGAAGATTCCAGGGGGGTTGGACAGGAATGACGAGTAAGTGGTGATGTCGGACTGGCCTGTGAAGTCCGCGGGGATTTTGTCGACAGCATAGCCAAGATGGAACTTGGACTTGCCCCCCACGATCTGGGCGGGGAGGAGGTCAGGGATGCTGGTGTTGAACACGGACAGACCCTTGGCATCATGGTCCGTGATGTAGCGGTTTGGGGTGCTGAGATCAGGTGCTTCTTGACTCTGGGCCTGCGCCATGGTGGTTACTTGGCCGTGGTGGTTGGATTAGTGAACTGTTTACTGATCGAGCGGTGTTCGAGTGCTTGGGGCTCTGAAGATGTCCTTTCGCAAGTATTGGCACGCCTCAAGCCGCCTTTCCGGTTGAGTAGTGAATAAGACAGTATAACGACCACACAAGTTTATGTATTGTGAGTACGCGATGAGATCAAAGTAGAAAAGGTCAGGACGAAGACCCGAACGGGACCAAACCTTCTGGCCAATTCGGATTTACCAGTTATATCCGGGATCGATGTTCGTCTCGGACTGCCTGGATCGGAGGTCGTCTCTTCATGGGTTCTGAATAAGCAGAGATCGGGGCAAAGAAATCGTCGGCGTTTGATATGTCGTCGGCGATTGGACACGGGGAATTCTCTTGCTGACAATTATTGGTGAGACAACATCTGCAGTAGCAGACAAAGATACCGACTCTACTGTACGACACCAAGGTCCTCGCAGCATTGCCACTATTCGCAAACTGGCAGTAAGCACTAGAGCAGCTCAACCTTCCCGGTCAGGCGCTTCCAGTCTCCCAGCAGGCTACATACACTGCCTCTATCGTGAATGACAGCATTTTCACATGCAGCCGGCCAGGCAGATTCAACAGAAATGAATAGTAAACCACCTATCTCGCGATGAGTAATGGCCACGTTGTTTCTCGATGAACTCTGCAGGTAATTGCCTGTTCCCAAGGAATTTGAGTCTTATCTTCAAGCCTCTTCTTTCCTCAGTCCTATCCGGCTGACCATTTTCGAGATGTTCCGGAAGAAGAAAAGGCTAATTCTGTCATGTTTTAACGCCGTAACACTACAGGCAGCCCCCGAGACCACTGGTGGCTTGGAAAAGATCAATTATATTCCCTGCACAGACCGCCAAGCAATCTTGGAGTGTTCAAGTAGTCAAGTTCATGGACGAGTATCCCAAGGTGTTATTTTAGAGATATGGTACACCCGTTCTCAGCTTTTTCATTTTAGCTGCCTGTGAGTTCCGTCACGCCTGGAGGACAGCCGAAGTCAGCGTCGGCGCGAGATTTGAATAGTCAATGGACCAAACTCATATTACCGAGAGATATCTCTCTCGCTTTAGATAATTACACTTGCGGGTATCATGCCCATGACCCTTCCAAACCCCGTCCCTTTCACAGTCAAAAAATGAAATGGAATACAAGGGAGACTCAATGGGCAATGCAGCCCAGGGGCACAAGCTACGAAAGAACTGGCCTCTTACCCGGATCCAAGCTTAGCCAAGAATAATAGGATCTTTCCCATCCCACTCGCTCCCCTCAGCAGCATCAAGCGAGAACCTCGCCACGGCGCTCCTAGAGGTACTCGCCGTCATACCCACCATCCCCTTCTCCGCTGGCCACAACCTTCCCTGCTTCTTGTCGTCACCCTCAGTTAGCCGCCCGGGCCGCAGGACGACCCACCCCACACCCTTTACCAACCTCCCTCAGCTCCGCCTCGGCGGCTTCATGGTCCTCGTGCGTGAGCTCAACGCTGCTGTGCCCGATGAGCGTGCGCAGCACCCAGTGCGTGTTGGGCGACGACTTGCCCACGCCGATGGCGGAGACGTACGCCACTTTCGGCTCCTCGGCCCAGCCGGCCGCAGTCTTGGACAGGACGGACAGCACATTGGCGATTTACTGTTTGCCGTTGGGGTCTCAACACATTGTCACTCTTTGGAATTCACTCTTTACCCATCTCAGACATGGGTTATCCCACGCCCTGGTGGATGAGCTGGTTGCCAGCTCAAGGATGCTTGCATTTGCGATGAGTAGTTGTCGTAAAACCAAGTTCCAGAGACAATTGAGCATTGTCCGAGGTAGAAATTTTCTCTTGTGAACCGTTGCCTTTTGTGTGATTACTTCCAGAGAACTTATCTAAGGCGAAGGACAATGCCATGGAGAATATTGTACAACCCTGGTTTATGGGGTCTATTGTCTCATTGAAATGGTATCTTCTGTGAAGACTTTGTCATTTCTCAACGTTTCATTCTAAAGCTATCATCGTAAGCCCTCCGTATAGTAGCTCGGAGGCTGGAACAGTTGATTATAAAATGGTTCACGGTGGTTAGATGTCCCAACTACCATGTAGCTCATCGTTTCGTCCATCTGGTGTCCGCTCTTGTTCACTGTTGACTATTCTTCATGACTGTCGTAGCTAGATGTGTCACTACGTTTGAGTAAGTGGGACGAACCTCAAAGTTGTGCATGCATAGTCTGCATTTTATCACCTTCGCTTGGGGGCCTCCCATGACTCGGGGCCCAGCTTTAAGCTTTCAAAATTCTCCGCCACGGCCTCGTTAAACTCTTGCACTGTCACTTAATTTGCCTTCCAGGCTCTCGAACTTAGCTGAGCTTAACGATTCACCTTTTTATGCTTATTTCGTAGATTTCTGAATGGCAGCCTCATCCCTTGCGACAAGGGGATCCTGGGAATTTAAACTCGGCAACAACATGTTCGTTGGGCTGCATTCGAAACGCGACAAGTGGGCGGCACGAACCTAATAAAACTCTATAGCACAGACTGGGAATTAATTAAGTGCAGTAACGTGAGTGTGAATTGAAGATTTATCAACGAAATTGGTGCTGTCTTCCTTCTCTCGCTATATCTCATCTGACTTCCAGCAACCTCAAGGTCAGCAAATGACAGCCCACAAACGACGGATTCAGTTCCACTGAACCGATCAGGACCAGATCAATAGGGCAGCCCAAAGACCACCTGAACAATCAGTGCAGAAGCCTTCTCCCTTCTCACTCGGAGTATCTCAGGCGGCCCACCGAAAACCTTAGACGCCCCGGCCGGGGGAGTCAAACCCAAAGACAAGATGAATGCGGCTCTGAGACGTGCGTTCCTGCAGGTCAGAAGGTGGGAACATTGCGTGGCATACACGGCTGCCGAGCACATGCAACGGTCAGACCCGCCGGCCGACCTTTTCTGTCCCCGCCTCTCGCCCGGCCGGGGAGCCGCAGCGTTCGTGCATTGGCAGGTGGGTGGGCTACGTCACGAGTTGGCCCCCACGAAGGTGAAACCCCATCTCCTACAGTATGTACAAGAGTGCACGAGTCAATTTTCTGGGCGGGTTTCGCGCGCCACATTCGTGCGCAGGCTCTCGCGCTCGCTTACTTGCTTTTCTTCTTTGGTGCTGTGCCTCTTCCCTTGTTAGTCTGCCGCTTGTTGAGACTGTCTAGGCGGTTGTCATGCCACCCCCACGTTGGCGTATCGTATGATTGAGCCATTTGTTGTAAGAATTGAGGCCATTGATTCCATGCTGCCTCAAATTGAACAGCGGAAAATATATATGTGTTGAAAGTGGTCTGGACGTAAAACATGCCACAAAATGCACCAGTGTCGTAGATGTATGTGACGGGCTGTTAGTCTGATCGGGATTATCTGCCCGGCTCACTAATACGCGCATTCCGCGCACTTCACCACGGAGGACAGCGGGGGACCGATAAATTTCGTGCAGCGTGCAAGACTTATCGTTCATTCTAAATTATCCACAAACAACGAGAAACAAAGTGAAAAGCAGTCGGTATCGTATCAGTCAGGCTCTGCTCTCCCCTCTGGTAGGCGTTTACACACCACCCAAGCCTCTTCCCCTCGCGCTGTGTCTTTCTTTTTCTCTTTCACAAGAGGCCAATTAGATACACATAAGAAAGTCGTATCATTTGTCTTTTACTCCTCCTCTACTGGCGGAGGTTGGCCAACTGTCTACCGACCCAGCGACCGACGGTGCGCTTGTTGTTGTTGTTGTTGTTGTTGTTGTTGTTGTTGTTGTTGTTGTTGTTGTTGCCTCCGCGTTGACGGCCGTTGCCCTGGCCACCAGTGGCACCGGTACCAGCGTTTCCGTTTCCACTCGCGGCGTTACCGTTTCCAGACGCCGCGTTGGCGTTGCCGCCGTTCTTGCCGCCGCGTTGGCGTCCGTTGCCAGTCTGAGTCTGTCCTCCGTTGCCGTTGTTGTTGTTGGCGTTGCCGGCTCCGGAGGCAGCAGGCTGAGCGGCGTCGAGGGCGGGGGTCTGGACGGGAGACTCCTTGATGACGGGGTCCTCGATGTTGAGCGCCTTCTTGACTCCGTCGTCGGCGGCCAGGCCCTCGGTGCTTCCCGCCTGCTGGTTGGCGGCGATGGCGGCGGGCAGGTCCTCCTTGTTCTGCGCGACCTGCTTCTCGATGCCGTCGAGGGTCTGGGTCGTGCTGATCTTGGAGGCGACGTTTGTCTTCGCATCGGCGCCGGCTTGCTGGACGGGGAAGCATCCACCAAAGGGACCGGCCAGGGCGTTGTTTCGGCATCGGACTGTGCAGACGTTGCCAGTTGAGGCTGAATATGACTGTCAGTTCATGCGGTCTGATGGTTTTGGGGATTTCTAGATGTAAATGTGTAAGTAACTCACCTCCAGTGCAGTTCATGTCAGCGGGCATCTTGACGGTCATGTTGAAGTCCACAGTCTTGGCCTGGGAGAAACCGTTGGCACCAGGCACGTTGTTTGTGACCTCGAGAGGAATCTGGCCGGTAGCACCCAGAGAGTTTCCAGTGGGGTCCATGTCGCACTATCGTTGATCGTCAGCTTTTCTGTCGTGTATTGGATGTTTTCACATCATGTTTCTTACTGTGTAAGGGCCGGCACCGTCAGCGTTGACCTGGTGGATCGTGACAGTCATCTCTCCACCGGGCGAGACCTGGGTAACAGCATTGGCAGCGAGGGCGTTTTCGGTGTTCTCCCCAACGTCGATGTTTCCGCCAAGCTCAGTACGTCCACACTCGTTTACGATGTTCGCGGTGATCTCGGCATCACGGATGATGGTGGCGTCCTGCTGGCAGGGGCTGATGCTGGTGCAGTTCCTTGCAAGGTCGCCCTCAACTAATCTCACTGTTAGGAAATTTATGGTCTCTTTGTTTATGGCTCTTGATAGGGTTTGTCGTACCCAGGAAGCCGACGGAGGCTGGCGATCCTTGCTCTCCCTGCACGTTGAGGATCTGCGAGTGGCCGTGGACCAGAGAAATAAATGCTGCGGAGAGCAGGACTCGGGTGAGTGAAGACATTTTGACAGATCGGAGGACTTGGAAGGGATCGTCGAGAACGGAAGAGAGTTAAACACCAGGTACTATTTCCCAAAACGGAGGAAAGCACAAATGAATGAGGCCCAGCCTATCGAGGAATCAAAATTAAGAATCGAAAGAAGAGAATTAGGAATCGTCAAGATCCTTTCTGAATGAGCGATAGAGCAGTGGCTGATGTGAAGATGGCAAGATTCTAAGTTTCCCAGTCGGATGACAGTGTCTACATAGGTATATGTAGGGCATGGACGGGCACGACGCTTGGGCGCCTGGCTGCACGTTCTCGGCCGTGTCTGCCAGGGGTGCGGCGAGATGCCTAGTCCAACCAAGCAAGCGAGTCTCGCCAAGGAGGGGCCATTCTACAGGCACAGTGACTATTCGAGCCCTTTCGAACAGACTCCGTCACAGCACGGTGGAGCGTGCCAGGCTGGTGGCAGGCGGTTGTGAGTGTGTGGGCGCGATGTTTCGATATTTCCCAGGAGCAGGATATAAGGCCGGCCATAGGGAAGCTTGGTAGCGGTTTGGCGAGCCATGTTTGAGCGAGTTACAGGGGCGGCGGCGGGCGCTGGGGGGTACCCTGGGTGCCAATCTTGAAGATCTTAGGATGATCCAGCCGCTATCCCACCCACGCGCGTCCATACTTCAGCCCTGCTTCAACTGGACTAAGTTGGCAAGGGGATCCCGCGGGCGGCAATCTTCGCGGGTGTCACAAACCGAGGCAGGTGACATCGACCACACCCAAAGTACAATGCAGACCAGGTACCGTATCCATCATTTTTTCTTGCAGCTTGACGCAGGAATGAGGACGTACACCAGGTACACACCTCGGAGTTCGCCAAGGACCCCCATTTGGAAACATGCTTGAACAGGGGGGCGTGCCGGGTGCAAGTGGGCTCAGAGTGGGCCTATCCATCCGATGGGGCCCGCCGGTCTTTTTTTGCCCGATGATTTGCCCAACTATCTCTGCGAACCCGTTGTGCCGATGTTTGAAGGTGGCTTGCGGGAAGTGACAACGGACAATATTGAGACGAGTCTTTGTTTCGATGGCTTAAAATACGGCGGATTACTCGAAATGGCCGCCTTGATGTCGACGTTTAATTGCCCAAAACGTGGATGCACGCGAGAACCGAGATGAGGACGACGACTCAAGCTCACGAGGGCACGATCATGCTTGCAAATCACACAGGCAAGACGCTGGGCATGAGCTTACTTTGGTTCGAGCAAGTTCGTCAAGTTCCGGATCGACTGCTCTGTTAATCTGCGTAGGGCAGGGGTGGGTACCAGCGCCCTCTCAGAAATCAGGAGGGATAAGGAGGGAGAAAAAGTAAATGCGCGCAGGAACCTGAACCACGCGCCGAGCCTGCCCAGGGCCGCCAGCCACAGCGGATTGCCTCTCTTGGCAGTACTAGGGCGATATGCAGCAGGGACAGCAGCGATCATCGGGAAAATCCTGCGCGGTAGATGGTTCTGGTGGGTGGGAACCGGAAACGACAGAATAAGCCTATTTGCGCGCAGCCGCTCGTCAGGCTCGTATGTTGGCTCTGGCACCCCAGACAGTTGGCGTAAGAGAGGCGCCCCTCCCAGGAGCGAGGCATGGGGGCCCCTGAGGGGGGATCCGCCGAGCTTCCCCATTGGGCAACTTAAACCTCTTGCGGCTGAACCCAAACGAGACCTCCTGTCAGACCCACTGCCAGATCATTGAGACGGTTTCATCCTATTGTCAACTCACCTCTCCATCGAACCATAGTAAATGACGATGGGCTCAAAAAACTCGGCGGTTCGGTGTCTTTGTTCTCACTGTCTGTCTGTCTGTCTATCTGCTCTGTTTCTGCCGTCTCTGACGACCGACAGGACTTTGGACGGCCGGCTTTTTTTCATGCCCTAAGCCCGCTGCAGCCACCCCTCGGTCGATGCCGATTGCTGACAGCGGTGGTGATGATGCTCGACTGCAACACGGAGGAAGATCTCAGGCACCATCTCACGGAAGCCTGCCGCAAAATGGGGCTGACCAGGCATCCATCTGCTAATTGACCCGTAATGCTACGCCGAAATAGATTTACAAAACAAAAGTGTAAATCCGACAGCGGTCGGAACCAAAAGAAAAAGGCGCAGTGCAAAGAATCTGGGCGCGCAATCAATTGTCATTCGGATAGTCGCAGACTTCGGGTCTTATGCCGAGCAATTATCACCGCGCAAAGTGGATTACAAAGGCATGACCATCGTGAGTGGAGGAATTGAAATAACTAGTACCACGTTTTGCCTTCGTCTTGGCATCTCTCCTAGACAACAAGCCCCCTGCGCCCCCTTATTCCTTCCAATGGTCGCCCTCAATATTTCCACTCGCCCGGGCTGGCCTTCGTATTTGGATCATTGAGCCAAGAGGTGAAAGGGGGACGGAATGGGAAAAGGCTGTCATGCACCCTCGCACCCGCATCACCGATATGGAAGGTTCGGATCCGCACGTCGAGCACTAGTATCCGCCGCGACCGTAACTGTCCGAACGGCCGCTGCTGGTGCTACCGCCTCTGCCGTAGCCGGTATCATCCGGTGAGAGCGCGCCGCCACTGCCCTTCTGCCTATAATGTCTGTCCCTGCTTCCCTTGATCTTGGTGATCGCAGGAGTCGAGTGTGAGGAAACGAGAGGGTGTCTCGTTGGATTTCTTCCAGCGCCTCTCTTGTATTTCTCATGTTCGAAACCCCCACCGGACCCGTCGGAGTCGCTATCGTCTTCTTCTTCCTCGTCGTCAGAGACATCCCGGGGAGGAATCCTCGGGGATGGGACATGCGCTTCGAACGTTGAGCCACGACCACCGTGGCTGCGAACGAGTTCTGGAAGAGGATGGAGGCGTTGCGAACTTTGGTAGTCAGGTCCGGCGGTCCTCCAGTCGTCTTCTCTGGACTCGGGCCCATCGAAAATTGAGCCATGGCCGCTAGGGCTGCGAACGAGCTTCGGAGGATGACGACGTTGCGCATTTTGGTAGTCTATGCCGGCCGACCTCCTGTCGTCCTATCTGGCATCATGGTAATTGTCGTTTCTCAACCTGTGGTTTCTCGCCGTATCCGCATCCGCACCTCTTGTTCTGAAGATATACTGGTCAAATCTCTCGACGGATTGACTGACTTTCTTGAATTGCTTGCTGTCCAACCTTGATCTCCTGTTGGAAGTCAAAAGACTTACCGCCGTTGTTTTGAGCGGCCTGGGGGAAATAGTCATCCGAATCGTCTGGGCTTTTCTTTTTGGCTTGGGCAAGTGAGTAGGCGACCTGGAAAGCATGCCGGATTTGTCGGCCATTCCATCTTTTCGACGGCGCATAATTCTCGAAATGTCTTTTGGCAAATTTGAGGATGCTGCCGTTGTCGATTTCAAGAGGAGTGTAATCCAAACGGCATGCTGTCTTGGCTCCTTCGATCTCGTGTAGCCTTCTCAGATTGACTTCGAAGATATCAACAGTCTGTTGTCTATTCCAACGGAGGATAGAAGAGGCTGACGTGGATTCTTCATTTGAAAGCCTTGTTGAAGGTGCCAACACGGTTGGTAGGAAAGAAGAAGAATGGTTTCTAAGTGGGTTATTGTGGGAATAGTGCATATTTACGTAGATAGATGCCTCAGGGGCAGTCACGTGATGCTTATTCGATAGCCCATAGGCAAACGGGAAGGCTGCAGCACCTGCTGCATTCCTCCCCTTTACACACTCTAATGCGAATCTACCATACCTCTACGTATTGCAATACGTGAACCAGCCAATAGTTATGTTATTTAAAAGTTTTGAGTAGTATAGCGGAACATTTATTCACTTACTGTAGTTGAAGAATTCTACTACAACTAATACTATAACACCACCACGAGTTCAAGAAAAGAACACTTCATTTTACAGCATCCTCTAATTTGCTTACTTTCTACTTCTGCCCGGATAAAAAGAAATGACATACCATCGTGTGGCTTCGCATAGCTTACCGTAACCAGGAACTTTGTCTGCAACCTAAAAGCAAGGTGCTGATTAAATCCACAGATACCGTGAGGCCATACGGACTCACGGCTACGTCCATCCATCATATAGATCCAGTGGCCGCCCAGCGGACATCCGATTGAACCTCATTATATGTAATTTATGCATCTATCGTTCTATTCCCGTGCCTCCTCTTGTGGCCTTTGCCACTCTGACACGCTGAAAGCGTCTCTCACCATTGCTTCTTCCTCTTGCAAATGGACCTTCTTCTTTGCAGCAGCCGTCGTCGCGCTGACTGCCCGACCAGCGTACACAACACGCCTCTGGGTGTGGTGCTCCGTCCCCTTCAGGACCGTACTGACGCGGTCGCGCACATGATGCCAAGCCCCACCGTTGTAATGTTCCTCTTGTGCCCAAACTACGGTACGTGCATTTGGATATCGATCGAGACATGCTTTGAGCTGGGCGAAGGGGAACGGGTTTAGTTCTTCGACCCGAACAATGACCACGTCTCGGATATCATTTCTCTCCCGGTGTTTCCGCAGAGTGGCATAGACCTGGCCAGTGCAGAGGATTACTCGAGAGATTGTATCTGGGGCTCCGATGGTCTTTCCGTGCTCCGGGTCTGCGATTACCGGCTCGAAGGTTGAGTCGCCTACTAAGTCGGACTTGGGAGACCGCGTGAGCACATGGCACAACAGAGACCTGGAGAGGAAGATTATGAGAGCTGTGTTCGGAATACTCAGTGTGAGAACATCGCATCCTCTCGACAAAGCAAAGAAACACGAAAGTCGTTTCAGTGAGGGAACTCACGTTTGCGGAAATCGCGGCGGAGCTGACGCCCCAACGCGTGGAAATAATTAGCCGGGGTGGTTGGGTAGATAATCTGCATGTTGCAGTCTTGATGCTGTCTCCCGAGATCCTTGGGCCACACCGTACCGCTCTCGCTGCTCAGCATGAGGAATCGCTCAATTCGAGAGGATGAGTGCTCAGGGCCCTGGCCGTCGAGGCCGTGGGGGAGAGAGAGTACGAGACCAGAACGGTCCCCCCACTTCGTTTCCGCCCCGCTGATGATGTTGCCAATCATGACCTGCGCGGTGTTGACAAAGTCGCCAAACTGAGCCTCCCAGATAACCAGAGAATGGGGATCGGCTATTGTCACGCCGTACTCGAATCCAAGGGCGCCGTACTCACTCAGGGGCGAATTCTCGATCAAAAAAGGGTCTTGTCCTTCAGAAAGATTTGCAAGTGGGGTGAAAGTCTCCCCGGTTTTCTGGTCATGAAATGTGGCGTGGCGCTGAGAGAAACGTGCCTCTCTGGGCGTCTTCGCCGAGGATTCGGACATGGTGGCCCTCCAGAGACAGTGAGCCCAGAGCGAGAGCCTCAGCAGCGGTCCAGTCAATAATGTCCTGTTCGGCTGCCTTTTGCCGACCGTCCAAGATCCGCTTCAAGTTGTTATGAAGCGTGAAACTCTCAGGCGCACTCGTGATTCTCTCAATAATCTGTTGAATCTTGTCGGCGGCGACGGCAGTCGGGTTCGTTGGGAATGTCTCTACAGCAAGCTGCTGCAGGCTGGGCAGACCCTTCCAAGCTTTGGGAGGACCCTGGACTTCCGGCGTGTACGTCTTCGCCGACTCGAACGACTGGCTCAGTTTGTCCCAGATGGCGCTCTTTCTCGATGCTAACTATTCTTTTGTAAAAGAACCTTCAGTGAGCAGTTTCTGGGTATAGACTTCCTCTGCTGACGGGTGACTTGCAATCTTCTGGTACATGAGTGGCTGGGTAAAACGCGGCTGGTCCGTTTCGTTGTGTCCAAACTTGCGGTAGCAGACAATATCGACAATCGCATCGGACTTGAACTTGGAACGCCAATCAGCGGCTAGCTGGCAAATGAACACGATCTCCTCAATGCTATCGGAGTTGACGTGGAAGATAGGAGTATTCGGGGATTTAGCAAGGTCCGTACAGTACGTTGTTGATCGCGAGGATTCCGGGTCAGCAGTGAAACCGATTTGGTTGTTGACAATTAGTCGTACTGTGCCGCCGAGATCGTAGGCTGATAGGTGCGCTAGGCTCAAGGTTTCGCAAACAACACCTTGACCCGTAAAAGCTGCATCGCCATGGAGTGCCAGACAGAGTGTCTTGTCAATGCCGTCAGGTCTAGTGAGCCTCTGCGTTGCATGGGTGCTGCCCTGTGAAATAGGACTGACCGACTCGAGGTGGGAAGGGTTGGCAATTACTGAGATGTCGACTTTTTTCCCTTCGGGAGTTTGGTGCTCACCCTCGAACCCCAGGTGAGTCTTGACGTCACCACAGCTGCCAGGCAAGAGGCCCCATCCTGGGCGCCCCATGAACTCGGCAAATAGCCCTTCCAAAGGCTTCTTGTAAACAGTGCCACACAAAGCTAGGCGCCCACGATGGCAGCTGCCGACGACCCCGTGGTTGACACCATGTTTCTCCGCGCTTCGATCAATCAGGCTCGCCACTGCTGGGACGAGGCCTTCGACGCCGTCGAGGCCGTATCGTTTCTCGGTGGACGATGACGCATGGCGCAACATGGTGTCTGTTGTTCATCCAGACACATCGGCGCCGACGACGAAACTGCAGACAACAAAACGGGATCAAACCTCAGACCCTTCCATATCGTGCTGAATTCGAAGAGCCAGGTTGAGTATTCCTGATGGAGCTCATCCTGGGCGCACAGTCCATAGCCGAACTTAATATGCCTACTCGGTAGGCCGGGCTGCAAGGACACTGGCATCGGCCTCCAATTCTACCCCACGAGATCCACAACTCCCATCTGCAATCCCATGCATGCAGGTGGACCGCCTTGTTGTAATCGGCTAAAAGTCGAATCAGCATACGCCCACCCAGCTTCTACAATACGCCCACCCAGCTTCCAGCGTTGACCCACCCAGTATAAGGAAAATTAGCTGCATCCGCACTAAAATGCAAGTACTGCGGGGTTTTCAATAAGCCAGGGTAGCTATTTTTCAATTTAAGCAATACTTTAAAAATATAAGCCTAAAAAGCCCAGAGGGCCCCAGAGCGCCCAGAGGGCCCCAGAGCGCCTAGAGGGCCCCAGAGCCCCCAGAGGGCCCCAGAGCCCCCAGAGGGCCCCAGAGCCCCCAGAGGGCCCCAGAGCCCCCAGAGCCCCCAGAGCCCCCAGAGCGCCCAGAGGGCTGCAGAGCGCCCAAAGGGCCATAGAGCGCTTAGAGGGCGCAGAGGGCGCAGAGGGCTGCAAAGGGCGGCAAAGGGCGGCAAAGGGTAGAAGTAACTTTTAAGTTGCAAATAAAGGGGTAGCTATAAAACCCCTTTAGGGTAGCTATGGGACCTCTTTAGAATAGCTATAGCTATGCGTTATTAATAACTTCGCAGTATTAATATTTTATAATGCGTGTAACCAATTTCCTTGTACTGGGTGGGCCAACGCTGGAAGCTGGGTGGGCGTACTGTAGAAGCTGGGTGGGCGTACGCTGACTCCTAAAAGTCGCCCAGCTCTGCCGGCAACTACAGAGACGAGACATGCCTTGACACTTTGGGAGGCCAGAAGAAGGAGGAAAAAAAAAGAATTTCGTGTGAATCGATCGAAATGTTGCCCTGTTTACACGCATCTACAGAACTGTCAGAGTGATAGACATCCTCGACGCCTTACCCGCCCTCTCAGCCTGACTCTAGCCCAGATTCCGCCAGTTCTCACTATGAGGCCTTGGCAGCTGTTTCACAGGCCGATCGTAGTTGGCGAAGCGATCCGATTTAGTCAACATGCCGCGGCCCAAAGTTGGCCTATCGCGCAGCGGAGAACCTTTGCGTTCTCAGCAGAGTGCCTGAAGCGAGTCAACGTTGCAGTTCCTCCAATGGCCGAGTCAATCAACGAAGAGACATTGGCCTCCTTTTCGACAGAAATCGGAGACTCTGTCGAGGCAGATGAAGAACTTGCCACGGTTGAGACCGACAAGATTGATGTTCCTGTCAACAGCCCTAGTGGCTGTCAAGTATCTCATCGAAGAGGGCAACGCGGTATCTGTCGGTCAAAAAGTAGCAGTCATCGAAACACAAGACGACCAATCGCCGCCAGAAACGCAGGTCATAGACAAGCCACCGGAGCTCAAACCGTCGCTGTCCGCTGCTGTAGGGAATACAGAGCCTCCCGTCAATGCGGGCGCCCCTATTTCATCCGGAGAACGCGTGGTGAGTATTCGAAGCCGTCTCGAAACAATCCTTTTTTTTTGTCTGAAACTAGCAAATGTCTGATAAATTGAAAAGGTGAAGGCATCAAGAATGCGGATGGCTATTGCGAGGAATCTCAAACAGGCCCACAACACTTACGCTTCCACGACGACATACCAGGATATTAACATGTCGAATCTTCTGAAATGGAGAGATCAGAAACGCCCCCGAGTGGCTGAAAAGTACGAAGTGCGTCTTGGATTCATGGGGGCATTCACACAGGCTGCCACGTTGGCCGCCAGAGATGTCCCGGAGATCACGGCGACGCTCAATATGGACGAACGGACAATCACCTACAGGGATTACACCAACATTAGCATCGCTGTTTCGACGTCACGGGGCCTCGTAACGCCTGTCCTTCGGAATTGCGAGAACCAGAGTATCATTGAGATTGAGAGGCGGGTTGCTGCAATTGCACAAAAGGTAAGTATCCATCGCTGTACTACAAAACAGATGATTATGGTGTGGATGGTGCTTAAACTGATATATTGCTTCCACCTCAGGCACGGGACAGCAAGCTTGTCCTGGAAGACCTCGTATGTGGGCATTTCTCAATCAGCAACCCTGGGATCTTTGGCTCATACTATGGCACCCCTTTGATTCCTTGGGGCCAAGTCGCAACCTTCAATCTCAATTCCATCAGAGATCGCGTGCTTCCTATAGAAGGGAAGCCTGAGATCAGACCAGTAAGCAGACACATCCAAGAGAATCCCAGGCATGTACTAATGGAAGTGTCGAAGCAAATGATTGTGTCCCTCACGTACGATCATCGACTATTGGATGGGTTGGAGGCGGTGAAATTCATAAGCCTCGTCAATAAGTATATCCAGGAACCGTCGTTGCTCAGGCTGGAGTAACGTGTGGACATGATGGCATCGTGCTAATAGATATGGATTCGAGAAACTCGAGCGCACCAATGTTACAAATTTAAACCCTAAGTCTCCAACCAAGAACTTCACAACTTTCAAATGATTTGCCATTCTCCTATATGAGCCGAACTTAATCCAGTGCCGACCACCGCCCGAAGAATGCATTTGTCTCCTCGAAACTTCGTGAGCATGTCCGTGATTGTTACCAGATAAATGTAAGGCCCACATCACCTAGATCTAGTGTGGCCAAACCTTTTTGAAGCGGCTTGGCCGTTACCAGTCTTCCGGGAATGAGACCTTGTCCAAGAGCTCTGAATTCACCCAAGTCTGAAGTCGGCTTCTTGGTCATATAGCCGAGTGGTGAGTGGGTCGGTTACACGGCCCCAGCTAATAGTCCAAGGCCTTCCTGTCTGGGAAATTAAAAGCACGTTTTGAACAACCTCAATGTCACTCCTCCGGTTGGCTGAGCCGAACAACAGTCTGCCGGACCTTAAACCCTGGCGGCATCTGGGCCCTCGAACACTACACCAGTACCTTCGCAAGCGAAAGCACCATGTACCACAGTGCAAGGTCCGGGAGCCGGAACATTGATGTGAGCTTTTCTGCATATCTTATGTAGAAGGATGGACATTCATCTTTATCCGTCCTCGTGAAGAGTTCCCTGGCAAGAAAGAGCTGAATTAAGAAGCTATGTAGCGGCTGCGCAGATAAGATAGGCAGGGCTTATCGATAAGGGCAGTGGGCCCGCTGGCTTACTCTCATATGCAATTAAACGTTCCATTTTGGCGCTAGTAGCCTGCACATAATACCTTACATTAAAAATTATATGCATTTATTATATTATGCCCTTTTTAATTATTAAGTATAATTACTTATTTTATAACTTTTATAACGCTATATCTTTTGCTATATTATATATTTTAATTATTATAAATTAATTTATAATAATTTTATAATTATATTTTACTACTTAATTTCCTTAAAGGTTTATATAATTTAAAGGCTATTAAATATTAATTAAGTAAATAATATTATTATTATAAAAATTATAAAGTACTTTAATTAATAAATTTAAAAGCTAAAAAAGAGAAATTTAATATTTAATATTATTATTAAGCTAAGCAATTTATATAAGGCTATTTAATTAATTAACTTTTATTATAATATATATTATTTAAGTTTTAAATATTTTTTTTTAATATATATTTTTATTATTTAAGCCTTTTTTAATTATTTTACTTTAATGAATAATTTATATTAACATAAAATATAATAATAATTATTAAATAATTTTAATTTATTTATTTTTTAAAGCATTATTAACTAAATACTTAAAGGAATTAAATAAAATAAGAAAATTATAAATATAATTATTATTTAATAAAATTACCTTATTTAAGTTAATTAAATTATTAAAACTTAAGAATTTTATATAAATTAATTTATCTTTATTAATAAGTTTAATATAAATAAAAAGAATAAGCTATAATATATAAAATAATTATTAAAAAGCATTAAGCTAAAGAAATTTATACTTAATAATAATAAAAATTATAATATATAGCATTAAGTATTTTTAATACTTATAATTATAAGTATATTTAATTTATTTATATATAAGAATAATATAAATAATTAAAACTTTATTAATTATATTAAGAATAAGGTTTTACTTAAAACATTGCTATTTTTAAGGCTTAACTTAATGCTAATAATAAATAATATTAATTTTTATTTTTATAAAAATTTTTAATAAATATATAATAAGGTTAATATTTAGCTTAAGTATTTATTTTTATACTTACTTAATCTTAATTTAATTAAAATATTTTTTAATAATTTAAAGAAGCATATTTATTGCTACTTTTAATATTATAAGGATTAATAATATATATAAAAGGATTAGCAATAATTTCTTATTAATTTAATATATAAGGTTGCTTTAAATATAAAAGCAATTTAAGGTTATTTTTAAAAGATTATAATTCTTAAATTAAAGTAAGCTTAAATTAACTAAATAGCTAATTAATTATATATTTTAATGCATATATTAATAGCATATATATTTTTTAAGCTTTAATTATTATTATAAGCGTTATAATATATAAATAATTTAAGTGCTTTTAATAATATATATTGCTATGCTTATTAATTAAGTTTATTATAATACCTTAATTAAAATATAATATATATTAATAATTACAAGGTATATATTTATAAAACATATATTATAAAAGAAAGCTTAATTAAATAAATTAAATAATATATTATTTATTTTTAAATATTTATTAAAAAGTTTTTACCTTACAAATAATTAAATATACTTAATGCATAAAATAATAATTCATTATATTAATGCACTTAATATTTAAATAGTTAACTTTATATATTTATATTTTTATTAAAAAAAGTTATATATATAATATAATTTATATATTAAATAGCCTTATTTCTACATTATTTAATAAGCAATATTTTATATATATATAATTTTAAAAAGGTACTTGCCTTAAGTAATTAAAATAAGGGGTATATATAAAAAGTGCATGAATTATAGGCTAGCTTAATATTTAATTAGCATACTTATAATTAAATTTATAACCTCTTTATTATATACTTAGTTTAATTATAGCTATTTTAATTAATTAATAAGTTAAATTAATAATTAATGCATTTTATTAAGAAGTAATAGCTTTATAAGTAAGGGAAGGTGCGAGTTAATACCTATGGTAAAGTGGTTAAATAAGGGGCTAGCGTTAATATAAAATAATTAGGTTAAATTAGCTTTAATTTAAATAAAAAGTATATTAACTAATTGCTAAATATTAAAGCTATTTATAAATTATAATTATATTTTATAAAATTACTTTATTAAGTATTAATAATATAAAAAGGTAATAAGTAAATATTATTAAGTGATAAAAAAGAGTTTAATAATAATAATCTTTTTAATAATTTAAAGCAATAAAATTAAACCTATAATCTTTTAATTATATAATATATTTAATTACTATTATTTTAAAGCATTAAAGGCTTTTTATTACTAAATAAAAGGTAATAGGAAGGGTGGTTTATATAGCTAGGAAAGGTATAAGTTAAGGTAGGTATAATATATATATATATTAACTTTAAATTGCTATAATATTACTAAAAAAAATTATAAATATAATATAATTTTTATATTAAATAATTTAGCTTTTTATCTTTTTATTTATAGTATTATTATTATAATTAATACAAAATTTATAAAAGAAATTAATATTTTATATTAAAACGTAATAAATATAAGTAAGTTAGGCTGATTTGCAAAACTTATTATATTATAGGTATTAATATTAACTTTATTACTTTTTACCTATTATTATTATAATAATAAAAGTAATATTTAAAATACCTTTTTATATATAATAAATAAGCTATAATTAATTACTTTTAGCAATAGCATTATTTTTATAGCTCTTAATTGCTTTTAAAGGTGTTAATAAGCTTAATATACCCTTCTTTAGCATATTACGTTCTTATATAAAGTTCTTTATATATTAATAAAGAAAGCTTTTTAAATTCTTTTTAAATTAATAATTAATAAATTACTTATTTAGCTATATTAAAAGATTTTTAAGCATACTTAAGCTTATATTTTAAAGCTTTATAGCTAAGCGATTTATTTCTTGCTTTTTTTTAATAATGCTGTGCTTTTTAATAATATATATACTAAAGAAAGTTATTTAATAGCTTATTACCCTTAAAGCTATTAAGCATTACTAGGAATAATAAAAATATTAATAAATAATATAATGGAGGCAGCATAACCCTTATTACTAGTATTTTAATAGAAAAAGGGGCTGTAAGTAGTATATATATATGCTTAGCTATTTATAATGCTAATAATAATAAAGCTAATTGCTAAGGCATTAAATGGCCATTAAGGGTATTTATAAGTATTAATGCAAGTTAATTATTATCGCTATTGCCTTTATTAATATTAATAATATTCCCGCTACCTATATTATTCCTTCTTAACTTAAGTATATTAGCTTTGTTTAAGCGCCTTAATATAGCTAAGAAAATATTATTATTTAGCTTAAGTGTTATGGGCTAGCCTTGGGTCGTCTGCCGTAAGGTGTTTAAATGGGGTTTATATTTAAAGTGCAAAAGAGAAGGTTTACTTCCCGTTTGCATTTATGCCAAAGCCTATTCTTATAAGGCCAAAGCCCATTAATTAATTATAGTAAGCAAAGCCTAAACTATAATATATCCTTCTTTTCTAAGTCCTTATGGCAAGCCCTAAAGGGTAATTATATAATAAAAAATAAAGGATACTATGATTTAATTATAAATTAAATATTACTTTTTGCTTAGCTATTTAATTACATTTTAACACCTTTTAATTACGCCAAAGGCTTAGCTTATTATTCATAATTAATATATCTTAACTCTTATAATTTAATATATTAATTAAAGTAAGTTAATAAGAAATAATTATTTAAGTATAAGCTAATAGCTAAATTAACAGCATTTTTATAATCCTTTAATATAAGCTTTTTATATAAGCTTTTTATTATGGGTTAACCTTGAGTGTTTGCTGGAAGGTACTTAAAAGGAGTTATGAATTGCAATATTTAAGAAGTAAGTTAGGCCTTAAAAGGGCTTAACTTTAAATTTATCTTTTAAGTATATATCTCATTATATAAGAGAATTAAGTGCAATATAGGCTTAGCATAGGTATATATTACGGCTTAAGCAATAACCTAAGCCTATTATATAGCCCCCTTTCCACTCTTATATTATGCATAGCAGGGATTAAATTTAAGGCTTTTACAATTTTATATTAATTATATATTTACTTTACTATGTATTTATTTTAAAGCTATATTTATTTACCTTAAAAGTAATAATTATTTATTTTATTTCTATATTGGCTATATTTATATACTATGCTTAGTATAATATAGTGCAAAGTATATATTATGTATATTATAAGTTATTATAATATAATAATATTGCTATTATATATATAATTCTTTATTAATATATTGCGATTATACATAGGCTATATATATTGCTAGCTTTAAGCTATAATATATCTTTATTAATATATTAATATTACTTATTATAGCTATTACCCTTATATTATATTTATTATTATTACTTAAGATAACTTCTTTATAATTGCACTTCCCTTTGCAATTTCTTCTTCTTAATACTATATTACTATTATAATATATTTATTATATGCATTATTTTATTATCTTTATATAACCTTTTTATTACCCTTATAATTATTTCTTTATTTATATTAATTACCCCTTAGCTCTATCTTGCCTTTAACTAAAAAGCTTTCCTTAGCATAGTTAATACTTATATAATCCCTTAATAATTCCTTAACGTACCCTCTTTTCTCCATATCCTATTTATTAAGCACCCTTCCTTTAACTTATTAATACCCTTTTAATCCCTTAATATTCTCTTTAATACCTGCTTTTTTCTTATTATATAAAAAGAAGAATAAAAAATAGCTTTTATTATAAGTTTTAATAATTAGCATAGCGGCTTTAATATAACCATTGCTAATAATAATAGTAATAATAAGCCGCCTTATTGCCCTAATAATATAACTCTTAAAGTTACTTTATTTCTCTTTTAATATAAGTTTATTATAATTATTAACTAAATATAAGAATATTATATTATAAGATTATATTAAATGCTTAATAATTTTAATAATAAGAATTAATAATTTATTAAATAGCTATTCTTTCTTTATAAATTATATATTGCAACTTTTTATAAAATTAATAAGCTACTTATTTATATCTTTAAAGATTATAATGCATTTTGCATTAATTACTATTATTATAAGCATAAATATATTTAATATATATATATATTTATTAATTTATTATTATTATAAAATATATAGCATTATTTAAAGAAAATAATTATTATTAATAATAATTATATTTTTATTCTTAAGTAAGTTAAATTTATTATTTTTACTTATAATAATATAATTATATTTACCTTAGCTTTTAATTATATTATTATTAATTTCCATAAAGCTATAAGCATTATACTAATAAAGCTACCCTTTGCTACTCTTATTATTTACTTAAGCAGCTATACTTATTTTTATAATATAGCTATAATTAATATCTTTATTAATCTTATTAAGAATATACTCTTAACCTTATTATAACTTATTAATATATTTTTATTTTCTATTAATATTAATATAATTATATATTATATTAATAATATTAATATTAATAATTATTAATTAACTTACTTTATTTAAAAAGTAGTAAATATCTTTATAACTTTTAATAATAATTAAAGAGCTAAGGTTAATTATTATATTAATAATATATATACTTTTAATATAAATACCTTTCTTATTCTTCTCTTATATTTATATTAACTTAGCCTTAAGTATATTTTAATGCATTTAAAGATTATTATTATAAAAAGTTTAATATAATAATTAATACCTTAAATATCTTTATTAATTAAATCTTTAATATTAAGCAATATAATTATGATTTAAATTATTATTATATTTATAATAAATTTAAAAAGGAAAAGTAAAAAAATAAAAAGGAAAACTTTAAAAACTTACTCTTTTTTAATTATAATACCTTTTATTATAAATATTAATTACCTTAGCTTATTATTATAATTATAATAAGTTTAAGTAATTAAAAGCTTTATTTTTAAATAAAAAGTTTATAAATTTAACTTTTATTATTATTAAATTATTATAACCTTATTATTAATCTTTATAATTTTTAATTTTATAATTAAATATTTTTAATATATTTACTTAAATAAATAATAATAAAGAAATTTTAAAAGAGTAATATACTTAATATAATCTTACCTTATAAAAGATTAATTATATAGCTTAGTTTTCTTTTAATTTAATATATTATTTAATTTTTATAAAAAAGAAATTTAATTTATTTATTAAATAAATATATAATAAGTTTTAATTAATTAAAACTTATTATATATAAATAAAGTTATAGATTTAAATCCTATTATTATTATGCTTTATTTAAGTATAATAAATATTTAAGGCTTACCTTATAGCCTTATTTAAATAGCTTATAATAATATAATAAGATTTTACTTATTTTTATTTTATTCTTACTTATAACTCTTATTACCTTATATTATATCTTTAAGTAAGCTTATTAAACTTAATATAAGTTTGCTTTATAATTACCTTAAATAAGCAATTCCTTATAAATAATAGCATTTCCTTATTATACCTTAAATAAATTAAGGGTTATTAATTTCTATAAATTCCTAAAGAATTTTTATATTAATATATCTTAACCTTTTTATTTAATATAAACTTGCCTTTTAAAAAGATTATTTTATAAATACCTTAATATATTTTTAATTATTAAAATTTTCTTTATAAAATACTTTTTATTTTAACCCTTATTTACTTTATTTAAAATTAATATAATATTTAATTAAGTATTTATAAATATTTAAATAAATAATAAATCCTTTATAATGCATTTAACTTAATTAATATTAAAGGTAAAATAAACTTAGCTTAATATATTTAAAATAATTATTTAAGGTATAAAAATATTTATTATAATATATTTTTAATATAGCTAATTAAGCTTTTTTATTAATTAAGTAATTTAAAAATACCTTAAGAATAGCTATATTTAATTATTAATGCAA